AGAACGACCGCTAGGCTATAAATAACGCCCATAAAGTCATAAGAGCCGGCACAAATGTACAAAAAAAAGCACATAGATTGTTGTTAAAAAGTTGCAATAAGTGCAAGCCTTGAAATCATAAACAAATAATAGGTGAAATAAATAAAGTAAGCGAACTTCCAGAAACGAGCCAAGTCACATTAGCGTCTAATAAATGAGTACAAATTGCATTTATTGCACGAGCGCGCACTTTCATAAGTAATATTAAATGCAAACTAAGATTTATGCAACGTTTATGCATACACACATACAACTAAACAATAAAGCGCACGCCATAAAAGTTGCGCCAAAGCGCTCACTTCACGACTTTCGTGGCGTAGTTATTGTTGTTGTATTTTATGCGCGCACTGCTTGGCTGCAAGCGAAAATCACGGCACACGCACACACACACACATACACAGACAGCTGGCTAAACTGTTTTTTATTGCCGCTGCTTTATGTTGCGCAGTCGAAGCTTGACTGCTGCCAACGCTTCTGGGTCAACAAACCCGCTGCTTTGGCATATTTCAAAGCGAACCTGAGCGCTTTCCGCTGCAAAACTTGCGCTATCTGATTAAATCAACGTTTGTCTTACTTGAAATGTGAAATGAAATGTCAGCTTTGTGCAATTTGTAAATAATTTGCAAGTTTTTAATGGTAATTTGTTGAAAATGATTTTTTTTCGCTTGAAGACAGACGCGACAATTGGTCATAACAGCAAAGTAGCCGCGGATAACGGCGCTAAGGGAAATTCCTCGCATCAAATTTGACAACCCTGCAGAGAAAGTCGGATTCAACCAACTTTTTACAACTCAAACTAAAATGAAACAGTCGGCGGTTTACGTGCGGTCTGGCTGATCAGAGGGTGACACTTGCAGTAAAGAAAATCGCAAAAAAAAAATTTAGTGCTACATATATACGGCTGAAGGGTTCCACATAAATAGCTGTGTCTGTATATACGCGAACTAGTCCCACAATTTTTTGCGATATCGAGCTGAAAGTTTGCACACGCCCTTTTCTACTCAAGTTGATGTTTATTTATCGGAATCGAAAACAACTATAGCATAGAGCTGTCAAACAAATTGATCGATCAGTATCACGTTCTTATACGGAAAACTTTTTTATTCAACAAGATATCTTCACGAAATGCAGCATGAATTATTATCCAAGGCAACGCTACAATCTTCGAACATATTCTTCAGATCGGGCCACTATAATATATAGTAGTTTTTTAAGTTGATAACTTTTGATTGGCCAGAAAGAGGACTCTCCACAGCTTCTAGAACAATTATCAACAATTTTTTACGACATAAAAATGTTAACTCAAAATTTACTTTAAAAGTGAGTGGGCCCGCCGCTAGATGTTAAAAAAAATTTTTTTTCAAAAATTTTCTTTTTTTATAATCTACAAATTTGACCCTCAGGCTATGCAAAAACGAAATTTTTTTCGCTCCAGTCCATTTTCGGTTCGGTTCAAAACCTGTTTGCAGCCCAGGATGCGCAGATCGCTTTTGGAGTAATTATAGTTAACAAGACGGAGAGATCTTAGTTGCTCAGCGATTTTTCTAATTTATCACTGAATTAGGCTAAAATAACGTATTTCGAATCGATTTATACTTAAAACCAAGAAAAGCCTGAGTTTGCCAGAGACCTTCGCAAATAACAATAGCAAAATTTAGATCATGTTATTATACACATTCATTAATTGCATTTCGAAAGCCAATCTGCACCTTCTAATCGTTTTGCCAACTTATTGGCCAACATTTTGCGGTGTGGCAATACAAAAGTGCTTTGGCTAAAGCAAGCACTAAAATCTAAGCTAACCATTCACCGTTTGAGCGCGTTCAACTGGCTTGCCTTGAAGCGGGCAGGTCCGATGTGGCAGCAGCAGTCATGAGATCGGCAAGAAATTCAAGCGAATGCATGAAATGGCAAAGGCAATAACTGGAAACCAGTCAGATAGCAAAATTAAGACGCTAACATGCGATGCACAGCGCGACAGCGGATAAAATGTGTTGCCATTATGCATGTGTGTGTGTGTGTGTGTTTGTATATGAGCTGCCGTAATAAAATTTGGTAATAAATAATTGAGGAAAGCGCAATTTTTGCAGTGCTTATGCAACACAACACATATCTACATATGTGTGTAATCTTGTGCATGTGTGTGCGTGTGTCGGCGGAAATGTTGCGTATACGAGCCGTAGCACTAACACAGGTACACTAAATAGATAATTCTGCACGGTTGCAGCGCCATTAGTACCAGCACGATTCGCCAAATCAGCAGAAAATTAAAAAATTGCTTTGCCAGCGTAGCAATTTTCTGCCAAGGCTGACATTGCCGAAAAATTGGAATGGCGCTCGATAAAAATATAGTTCTCCTTTCGAATTTGCGGCTGTGTATGCGCGCCTAACGTAGTGCGCCATCGCTCCAAATGTGTTCGAAAGTTACATGTATGGTCAGCTGCACAGACACAAGTTGCAACGTGACTTTGCGGCGCTTAAAGCGATCTGCTCGCCGATTTACATTTTCTTTGTTCATATTTCCTGCTTTACTTATTTATTCATTTTATTTGCTCGCACCGGCCAGCAACTGCGTTTACACCTACGCACAAACACAAATATTTAAAAATAATATTAATAAACGCAACTCAGCCATGCAACACCTTTCACACCGATGAAATTGAAAACCTTCGCTGTCATCATTGCTTATTAGCGGTTAATTAACGCACAAACAGATGTGTTGACTGTAATCGGAGCTGCAGCTGACTTCGGAATCCGCTGTTGTTGTTGTTGTTGTTGTAACTTGAAAATGTGCTTTACAAACGCATATTGGCGACTTTAAATGATTGAAAATTGTCATACAATACCGGCAGCCATGAAAAGTGAATTTATTAATTAGCGAGAACTGACCGATCGCTCTGCAGTAATCAGCAGCGCGGTTGTAAGTACATATATACTTATGTACACATATAAAAATGTGGGCTTATTAATTATGCGTCCATCAATGTCCGGCAATACCGGTGGCGGTCGCTTGGCATTGACATTGAGCATTGCAGTCAAATTTTACAATTCATTAAAAAAAAACGAGCAGCAACAGTTGTTTTTGTGGTAAAGCATTCAGCCGGTAGCAACAATTATTAGTTAACGATTACAACAATAAGTTAATGCCACTGTGCATATAAAGCCTTTTTCAAAAACGAGTGCCATAAATCAATCAAAATTAAGAGTAAATAATAAACTTTTTGTGGAGATTAACAACATGCATGAATATTATCGAAAGTCGATAACCATCGATTTTTTAGGTGAATTTGAATTGGAGCAATATTTTGCGCTAAAGTCATGCGCTAGTCAATAAACATAAAATGTGAACATTTTCTAAGCATTTTGAAGCACTTGATAGCAAAAATCTTATACATACATACATACATACTGAATGCACTGCGCGGCTACACTTTTAAAGCCTGTACCTAAAACATATTTGCAATATTCATTTAAAATTTTAGTATCGCATTTTTAAAGGTATCTACTAGCGAAAGATGAAAAACAAAAAAAAAATAATAAAAAATAAAAGTTGTAGGAAAAATTAAAATATTCTCTCTTTTCGAAAAATATGCAAAACAAAATAATTAATATTTTAAAAATACAATAGATATACTGCAAGAGCTGGCTTAATTAATGCACTGCAAGCATGTAATGCAAAATTTATTTAGCTTTCGCACTAGCAACGGCGAGGTATAACACAAATATTGTTTTTTAGCTATTGCTAAAACCAGTTTCATAACAAAATATTACATTTACGTATTATGTTAGCGGATAAGCATAAACACAAGCAGGCTTTTAGTAAAATGTAATTTTAGCGGTTTAGCAGTTGGGCAAACAAACGAAATTGTATAGAATTACAAATAATTATTGTTTACCGCTTATCAAAACTAATCGCATGTATGTATGTACGATATATATGTAGATATGCATGAGCACTGTATATATAATTCTAGCGCTACCTGTTGCACATATTTCAGTTTCGATAAGCATTTAAAAAATTCGAAAAACGAAAACTTTATATGAAATTCGCTGAGTCAAAAAAACACAACAAAAACACTTCTAACGGGCTTTCAGTATAGAGGAATGTATAGAAGTGTGTACATCAATCATTTTAATTGCAATGTTTTGTGTTTTTAACTACAGACAATCATACAGTAAGCAGGAAATTAAGCTTCTGTTAGAAGTGAGGTCATACATACTTACATATTGCCGAAAAATCTATTCACCTATATTGATGTATTGTGTACGTTTATAAAACTTTGCATATTATTTAAAATATATAAAATGTTTTTTTTTTTAATTTTTGCGATACTAAAAATTGCAAACTTTTAACGGCGTTTCGGTTTGAATATTTTATATTTGTATTTCCCACACCAGTCACGAAGCTCATCACCAGATGCAGATGCAAGCTTCCAGCGCTTGTACATTTGTTTGAGATAATGGCATAACTTTTAGTGAAATACCACAGAAATACTCAGCGCAAACCGGTTGTTGATTAGGCAACAATGTGTTTTTGTTTCAAGCCGTTGCTCTATGCCACGACACATTGCCATTTATCGCTTTCGCATGAGGAATATAATCGTACATGGAATATACATTTGTATACGCATGAGTACGTGAATATCTTGCTATCTCGACTGCTCTGTGCTTGCATGATTGCTTTGCTAGCTGACACATTACATCATTCAAAACCCAACCTATATATTAGCGCATAGTGTTTGAGATAAAACCAAACTGATAATATGTGCAAATTAAATGGTATAAATCAAAAATAACAGTTATATATAAGCGCGGCAAACAAACAAAATAAATCGAAAATAACTTTATATTTGGGAATTAGCATGCAAGTATACATATACTTATATTATATGTTGCTAATGACTATAAAAGCAGATAAGCGCTAGTGATAAAAATGTTCCATTTGCTGTTCTCACACTTACCACTTTCGCTGCACTGTCGTCGCTTGTGTGATATTATGGAAGACCAAATGTACAACTGCAGCGGTTATGGCTGCGCCAGCTGATCTAGTCTAGTTGATTTAATTAGGTCGCAGTTGGTTTCTGCAGCAGTTGAATGCACTTTATTGGAATGTATTCATTAACTTATTTAAACCAATTGATTTTTATCATTCGTTCATTGAATGCTTTTTTATTTTTATTTATTTAATTCAGCGTTATTTTTTCATGCAATTATCACTGTGCAGAATAACGATTTTGGCTCCAAAATACCCAACACATTCAGACACTTTGTCACTCTGTTGGCGTAAATGCTTACTTACTTACAGAAATCTTTTTGCTACTTTTACGCTTTCTTTATGTGGAGGAAGTATCATAAATATGCTTATTTAACATCTTTTAATAACAAATACTATAATTTTAGTGACAATGGAAAACTCACATAACCAATCACTTGTGTGCTCTTCGACCGATTGACAACTTTGGTGCGCTGAGCTCCACCAGCCCACCAACAGAGAGCGCACAATTCACAGAGTGACCAGCTGTTGACTGAAATGCATAATAAGCCGAGTCTATTGTGAATGACAAATGTGTGGTTTCATATCATGTGAGGTAGCTCGTGAATATGTACAATTTGAAAACAATTATAATACAAATAATAGTATTACATAATAATAGAAGCAATTTAACAAATTTATTGATTAATATTAAGAGTATTCGTAATCGAACATTTATGCTATTGCAAATGCAAAGTGAGTATGTCAGGTAAAGCAAACTGTCAAAAACAGATGATAGCGTTTTGTGTGTGTGTTGTATAAAAACAAAACGCGTGTTCATCTCAAATCGCAATTTAATTGGTAACTATTCTATATTTATATACAATTTCAAACTATACATAAATAATTTCTTTTTAATTTAGCCTAAGTACTGGTACATTTTCAATTTCTTCTCCTGTAAGTGTAATATCTGAAGAACACGCCTCAAAATGGGTATGGTACAGAAGCGTAAGAAAATGCACTCCGGTGATACGCACTTGCGAAGACGTTGGCGTGTACGCAGCAGACGGCGTGATCTAGATCAGATTGATGACGATTTGCGTACGAAATCCACAGAGCTCATCAATCAACAGGTGGATCTTGAACAAACCGGTTTTGCACAATTCTACTGTGTACACTGTGCCAAATATTTTATCGACGATCATGCAATGCAAGCACACTTTCGCACCAAAGTGCATAAGCGGCGCATGAAAGCTTTGGAATTGGAACCGTATACAGTTGAAGAAGCCGAACGTGCTGCTGGGCAAGGTAGTTACAAAGCGCCAAAAAAACGTGTAATTGTGACACAGCCCACAAAGGAGGAAGTAAAAAAGGGCAAACGCATACACTTGGCAGAGAAATTGGAGGAGGATGAAGCGCCTAAGTCTAAGAAAAAAGTGGAAAAAATGCAAACATGAGTTTTGGCAGCAATTACATTTCTAAAAATTCTAAAATTTACTTTCAAAAGCTATTAATAAAAAGAAAACTAGAATAAGAATTGTAACTAAATTAGTCTATTATTTCTGTTTTGAAAAATGTTTATATTTGGTAATGTTTTTTGTTGTTGTAAGACTGAAAGGAAGTAAAAATTCATAGGTAATATTGTATCGACAACAATGTAGGAAATTCTAAGTAGTTGTTAATTAACTGTAATACGCTGTTGATAATGACATTAATAGTTCCGTTGAGTATATGCATATGTAACAAACCCGGATTTACATTTGCCAAGGACTGCCAACTCGGCAGCATTCATCGAAATTATTTGGAGAATATTTTAAGTCTACAATAACAAAAGTTTAACTAACTCCAACAACATGTTCACTTTGCTTATTTTTACAACTGACTCATGAGAAAATACTGCAAGTGCTGAAATAAACACGTGCAGAAACTAACGATTTTAGAAATAACGGTAAACTAATGTAGTCACATAACAAAAAAGTCCAATCAGACCAAAAGCGAAAAGTGACAGTTTAAAAATGGAATATTAGAAAATATTCGACTGCGTGGGTTTTATTTCTGAGCGTAGTACATGAAATAATTTTGGGCGGTATTTGCTGGGTTGTATAAACATAAAAAGTTTTGTAGAAAATTACTGAGCTGACGCTTGCACAAGCGAATATTGTTGTTGCACTGGCAAGAAAAAAAACACCTCTGAAGTAATTTGAAGGAATGCTGCCGAGTTGCCACTCCCTGTGCGAATAAAAATCCGGATCCTTTCCGGTTATGTAGACCCAACGGAGCGAATATTATCAGAGCAAGCACCTGAAGGTGATGTCTTGACTCTAAAATATTCCGTTTTACTTTGCAAAAGCAAATATTTTGAAAATTCATTGCATCTACGCACCAACGTTAACAGCAATGCATTAATTAATAAAAATTACAACAAAAAATGTACACGCAACAAAAGTAATGTTTTTTGATAAAGCAACAAATATTTAATTAGTACGTTCATATAGTTATTATCTAGTGTATACGCTAAATCACACAACAAACACAAATTTATATACATACATCATACAATTCTAATATTTAGAAACTAGTAAAATTATTGCACGGTAAACATGTAGTTGTAAAACTAATGTTTGCCGTTATATTTTCATTAATAATACTCAATAAATAGAAATAACTAATATGTATAAGCGCAAATTTTCAACAAAAAAATTAAATATTAAAACAAATGAAGGCATTTTTTACGAAATAAAGCGTGAAATATACACATATAACTGGGTAAGTTTTGAAAATCCAACGACCAAAGCTTCGTTAGCTGTGGACTAGAGAGGTATAACTGGTTCATTTGCTCTTTACAACAATCATAGCACCTTGGCATGATTTTGAAAAATATATTTCTATACTATTTATATATATAAAAAACGCTACTACACTATGATACACAATTTTTTCCAACGCATTTGTAAAATTTATACAGACATTTGTCGATTTAGAGAATGGCCCAAAGCGTTTGCTACAAATTACTAATAATAATAGATCCACAATACGATTTTATCGTCGTATGATTTGACAAGGCGATTTGGTTTCCGTTATCTGCGCAGCGCTGTGGCTGTCACTGCAGCTGTCTGCTTTTAGATTCAATCGATATCGAAGATGCACAAGCTCAACAATTTGAAAATTTCCAACAATTAACAACAAATTTCAGCGACTATACATTTTACACTTGCTCTTCCACACATTCTGTTTCTTTTGGTTTGTCTCGCCCCTTTCCTTTTCTTTTACGTTTGCCACGACGTTTACGTAAATTTCAAGGCTCTACCTTATCACGCGGACCCTTCTTCTGAGCGGTCTCTAAGGCGATTGCGTTGCCGCTGTCATTGTTATTGTTTGCGGCACTGCCGCTTGTGGACGTTTCACTGAAGAAGGGATGTTTGAGGGCTTCCTCGGCAGTGATGCGTTCCAGTGGATTGACTTCGAGCAGTTTGTATAGCAGATCGTAGGCACTGGCGGGGAATGGATCATCATCGTCTAGCGGCTCGGTATTGTAATTAGTTTCCGTGCATAGGCAATTGAAGTAGAATTGATCACAGTTGCGACATACCTCACAAGTGCCGTCTGAGCGCTGATATTTCTTCAGCAAATCTGGCGAGCTGAATTTAACGCGATTCCGAAAACGTACGCACAGCTTGCGCAGATCGAGCGGCTTAGTCTTTTGACTGAGCGTGAGCAGGCGGTCGAGTATGAAGGCAGTCTTACGTATGGTTTTGTCGCCGAATATCGTCACCATCTCCGCCAGCGCCACAAAGTCGTTGGGCGCTTTGAAGAATGGATATACCGACGACAGTATGGATAGAAATATGACGCCCGCCGCCCAAATGTCCACTGCTGTGGTTTGGTCGGCATACTTGAGTAGCACCTCGGGCGGTCGATAGCCAGGCGTGCCGGCGCGCGACGCATGCATTTCCTTTTTGACGAGACACATGTTGCACACCTGCGGATTACCGTAGCAGACGCATTTTGGGCCGTTGGCGGTGTTGAGATTTCGGTTAGTATTGTACTTGCTGGTTATGTCCGTACACTGCGCCGTTGCATTGGAGCCAGTTGCACCTTCCGCTACAATGCTGTTGGGATTACGCACACAACCCGCGCTTTGGCGTATCTTCTGCTGAAAGCGATTGCTGGCCGAACTACCTAGTATGGCCGACTTCACCTGGCGACCCAACGGTGTCTCGCAAATGCCATTACCGCCGCCGTTGTTATTTTGGTTAGTATTGTTGTTGGCTACAGCAGTACCCGCTGCCAAGCCTACGGCGCCGCTCTTATTGCCAGCAGCCGCGGTGATCTCATTCAATTGTTTAAGTGGCATTTTAAACGGCGAGCCGCCCACAATGCAGCTGTTGGCGACACGCGCATTTGGCGTCGCATTAGCCGGCAACTCTTGTTCACCTAGTGGACCGGTGCAACGCGGACGTTTCGAACCACCATAGGCATCACCAGCCGCCACACTGCCATTGGAACCGTCAATTGTCTTGCCGGATGTCGTTTCGTCGCCATCACGCGGACGCTTACCCTCCGTGCCGATTGTTAAGGCGTTTGCCGCATTCGACTGTTCAGAACCGGTTTCTAGCGCGCTCGGCAAGTGTGCTGTAGGCACTTGTTGCGCCAAGCCGAAGTCGACCAGCAGAAATTGTCGTTTGCGGCGATTATAAAGAAAGTTGCTCGGCTTCACGTCGCGATGTATAACATTGAATTTGTGCACGTGCCGCAAGGCGATCAGCAGGTTGCGCATATAGTGTTGCAGTTCGGCCAGATCCATTTTGTTGAAGAAGTCGTGAAACCGATCGTGCTGCATGTATGGCATGATGAAGGCCACCGATTCGTTGTAGCGAATGCAACAGTTGATGCCGACTACATTGTCTGTGCCGCTGCAAGAACAGAAGTGAAAAGCAAATTAGTAACGAAATGTGGCGAAATATAATTGCAATAATATAATACTAAAAGGAACCGACTGGATTTTTAGCCTAGCAGTAGGAATGTCTATGTCTATTGGACAATGGCCAGTAAGAATTAATAAGATTGCGGCAAGTTGGGTTTTGCTTGCTAGCTCATCGCCTTTGCAGTTTTCAACGATGCCGCGATGACCAGGCACTCAAACGAGCCTGATATTGAAGTAGCCTGTTGCTATTTATCTAGTGAGGAAAGACGCTCTGCTGTCGGAGTGAATGCTCACCTACCTGAAAGAGGCTGCATAATAATAGTAATAGCGGAGAGCTCCCTCCAACCTTGCCTCCTAGCACCGACCTATGCGTGCAAAATCTCACTGCGTCTCTTCTCCCTGTCCTCATATTGCTCGTCGGCATGTGAGCAGAGAAACAGCCATCAGGAGTAGCCTCTGCGGCGCAGTGGTACACGTTTTCAGGGTTGCAATTGGGCTTTTGATATATTTTTGTGGCACCATATGGCTCTTGCAAACATACGGATGCGTCAAAAAAGCTAAGTAATATTTTCTTAGCACAGTTCCGGTAAGCAATGAGGAAAAAAATAATTAAAAATTAAAATAATGGGTGAACTAAATATTTGACAGCGCGGTGCGTATATATATAATCTTATAATAAGAAAATATAATAATATAAATAATTGCCTTCACCCAGAAGCACAAACATCAATATTAGCAATTATCATCGACTGCAAGGCGCGAACGTGTACGAGGCGCTGTTATTTACGTAAATAAAAATTCGGTGTATAAAAATAAACCTAAGCCAGCAATGAGCAACTGCAACAACAACAAACGCTGCGTGAGTGACGGTTTCACAGTGGAGGAAGCGTGAGCGGACGTCACGTCCACGCCGTCGCCCCTGCACGCAGGCAGAAAAACCATGCGCCTGAATGACGTTAAATGGATGCACTAACAAACAAACGAACAGACGGCTAAACTGTATGTGTATGTATAATAAAGGTACACCAAATACGAATCGTACCCTAAATGAATAAGCCAATAATCAACTTTTTACAGGTTTATAGCTGCGCTTGTTGTACACCAGCAGCGGGTGGGGCAATAAGGGTTCGCTCCAACTCATTTAAAATGGGATTTGATATGGAATTCTTGACATTTGCAGGTGACAAATACGGCTCACCTTAGGCATGCACAGCGTCTAACGGTTAAGTTAAGCAGGTGGCCTACAAGCTTGCCGGTGCTGCGCGCGTATGCACGCTAGTCAGGCAGCGCGGCCGACGAACAGATAGCGCGACAGTCAGCTATTCAACGAGTTGAATAGAAATAAATTTGCTGTGACGCGCGTTCTCAAAGCTGTGACGTACATTCATGCGCGCTTAGACGACGCTGCGCTAACGAAGATGTACAAAGCGGCGAAAAAAATGAGCAAACAATAAAATGTAGCATCAAATTGACTGATTATAGTACTTGAAATGTGCGATAGTGCACGGTATGTACTGCGTGTAAAGCGAAAACAAGTCGGTAAATTCTGGCGAAAGCCATTATTTGCATGTCGGTATGTATGTATGTAACTGCGTACGCGTGTGTAGCGCTGGAAATCAATTAAAGCAAGAACAGCAATAACTGCAACCTTGCCAGCGCGCGACTGCCTTCAGCGGCGTATCAGCGAAGGTGAAGGTTGCACGGCCAATATCGACCTGGCGTGAACAGACCAGACAGCAGTAGTAGTAGTAGTAGTTTGTTTTATTTACACAAAGTGCTTATGGGGTGACTTTGCTGCCGGCGTACGCCATGCTGTTGGTATTAAGGCGCTACGTCAGCGGCGATCGATTGAACGCCATCAGCATTGTCGTTAACCAGCTGCGTTGCTGTAATGTGGTGTGCGGTCTGTGTTGTGCGACGCTGGTGGGGACAGTTGATTGTTGCGCTTTTAACATGCGCATTTGCAAAGTAGTTGGACGTTGTCGTTGATTCGCAGAGCATATGAAGACACAAGACACAATAATATGTACATATATACATATGTATGTAGCTATATAGGCACATCGGTATGCGCATTTGTAAGCAGTTGTAATTCCACATACATATGTGCATACATATTTATGTAAGTATAGCTATAATATATTTATGTTTGCTCGTTGCCTACAAGTGCCCGTCACGTAGCCGTAGGCGTCGCCCGCACACATTTAAGGGTAACGCACGGCAGTCGGGTACTCTTTAATATTAGTGTCTTTTCGTGCATATATTTGAATGCGAACATTTTGGCAGTTTCCGAAATACGTCATCAGCTCCAACACAATTCAAATGAGCTGTACGCTTGGCGACGTCAAAATTTGGTAGCGTGAGTGGCAATATTTTTCACGCTTTCACAAGCAAATAAAAATTATAAAATAGTTGCGTTGCTTTTGACATGGGTATGCCCATGATATGCTGCGTGTTTTAATATTTAATGCTGGACGGCAGCAAATATGTGTAGAAACATTTTGTATGGAAAGAAACGATGAAACATTTTTGTAGAATTTCGCGAAATTGACCGTAATATTAAATTCAATGGAAATAGACAAGAAAAGTTGTGTTTATTTTTAGATATGGATTCAGATGGCGACTTGGTGGGCACTTCAAAATAAAGAAATGACAATAAATATGCTGTGTGTTGCGAGGAAATAGAAACAATTGCTATTTGTAGATATTTAATTAAGTTATGTATATTTCGAACTTTTGCACACAAATGCTGCTATAAATTAAGTCAGTAAAGCGTTTTTATAAATGTGCACGCTGCTGTGTATTTGTATGAATTATTATTCTAACACAAAATACACATGAGTTCAATCTATAAAATAATTATTTAACGGGATTACAAATATTTTGAAACCAAATTATCTATAAAATTTTTTTTTCAACTTAACCTTATTTTTTTTTTTTACATTAATTCATCAAAAATGTACGCGGAAAGAACTATTTAATAGATTTATAAATATTTCTGAATTTAAATTATCACATTACATTAATTCATCAAAAATGTACGCAAAAATTTTACTAAGTACTTGTTGCTATACACGCTGCTGTATGAACACTGTACAGACAACGATTTTATTGAATCACAAAATGTCTATAGAAATTGATTATTGGTTAGCAATATAAAGGGTTAGTGACGCACATTTCGAAAATGTACTGGAGAATGGTGCGAAATAAATTTGAAAATTTCCTAACGTATATGAATAGTATGTATAATCTATATTTGTACATGTGAAATCAAATACTTTGATAACACGAGCAACTTTGACGAACTTTCTCAATGTTTATAAGCATCCATATGTACATACTATACATACATATTTGTAATGCTGGCTGTTATCAGTTGATAAAGTATTAAACGCATTCGCTGTACCCTCACTTACCCGATTTTCGCCATGCACTGCAGCTCCTTCATTATCCTATCCGGATGACTGGTGGGTATGTGATGTTTGATTGCAAATTTACGCCGCATGTGCTCAGGTAAATTACGCTCTTTCTTCAAAGTCCCTAAAAGCACCGTGCTGAAGGTGCCATTACCGATACGACTGTGCACATCGAATATATTTTCGATTTCAGGAATGCGTTGACGTAAGTCGTTGATAGCCTCTATAAATACAGTTATAAAAAAGTTCATTTAGTATCTTATTAATATATCTGTGTGACGTATAGACATGCACGGTTGGATGTAATCGTACATATGTACAACTTATAGATACTGCAGATAGTACTTATAGATTATGTAGATAAGATACAAAAAAAAATTTGTTTTTAAAAAAAGCAAATAAGAAAGTTCTGTATATGTAAGTATTTGTTCATAAATGCAATAAATAGCGGCGGAATATCAGTGGCGGAGAATCAGAACTACGTAGATGAATTACTAACAATTTGATAGATTATAGTAAGTGCTCTTGCGCTTAGGTAAATAACAAATGTTTCAATGCGTTTGTTTATTTGAGTGCCGAGTTAATTATAGAATTATGTAAATCATTGTTAAACGATTGCACATGCAATATTACTATTGCATGCGGCTTAGGGTTGTAAACTTATCTAACTGTTAATAAATTTTTATTATAGAAGACTTCACTTGAAAATAAATTTGCAAATACACGATATATATTTATACGAGTATGCATACGTGAATTACTTAGGCACAGTTTTAAACTAAATTTCTATTGCATAAATAAATAGGTTTGTAAAGACAGAAAAGCTTTTAATCAATTATTATTTAAGCACATTTTAGCGATGGACATAGTTTATAAAATTGTCAAGCCTTTACTTATTAGCAGGCGTCTGCGGCAACCTTAGCAAAGGTCGTTTTTTATCACAATGTTATTTTTGTACATACTTCGCGCTCAAAGTGACCGATAAGAAATTCCATCCATGGTCATGGCTTAGAAAGCTAAATTTAATTATTTTTTCACTGCTTATTGTTTGTTTTCTATACAGTATGCTAACAGGCTTTTCTCACTTTCTGTTTATTGTCATGCAAACAAGTGATAAACATTGTAGAATTCTGTGTCAAGTGCACTCACCTTCGTTTTTGTTGCGCATCGCCGTCGTCGTTGTTAACTTAGGACTGACTGTTGTTACCATTGCTGCGGCCTGTTCCAGTGCGTTGGTGACTTGTGTGCTCATAATTTTCGTGCTTTTGCTGCATTCGTTGGCCGTTTTGCCGACAGCGAGCATTATGGCTGGACTCGGCTCGTGATGCATTTGCGTTTGCTGTTTCTGACTGTGTGTGTGAGTATGGTGATGACTAGTAGCGTGTCCGTGGTGGGTGTGATAGTGATGGCTTGAATTGCTGCTGCGATGCTTGCTGCCACTACTGAGAGCACTGGTAGTACCAATAGTTGCGGCTACCGCTGCACCGCCTGTGGTGTGCTGTTTTTGTCCAGCTGTTAGCGTGGGTGCGTTAAGCGTCACTGCAGATGTGACTGCACTGCCGGTGACAACACCGCCGCTACTTATTATCATATTGCCATTCCGTATTGTTTTGTGTGACTTCTTTTCCATTTTTTTCCTGACTTGCCGAGCTTCCGGCTTTCTTTGTAGCCGGGCTGTAGATTTATTTTGCCGAACTGGAGCAATTTTAGGCAATATTTTCGTTATGCCTTCTATAACTTGTGGTTTTTTTGTTGCGGCTTGTGGCGGTATCACTGATATTTGATTTGGTGTTGCTGTTGTTTCTAGCGCTTTATGTGAATTTTTTACTGTAACACTGTATTTGGCGCTTTTACGAAGTACAACTTTCACAACACCTTTTGGGCACTTCAGCTTCCTTGAAGCCCCTTTATTCCACGTTAATTTCTGGTACTCCACGGCAAAGTTTTTTACAACACTAATCCTCGATAAAAAATGTTTATCAGTCACCTCACAAGGACACGTCAAAAACGTTCCGTCTGCGCTTGTACACCAAACGCAAGTTTTTTGGCGATTTTCGCCAAAGTTAAAATATATTAAAAATTTGTAATTTACTTAGAACCGAATTCATATAAAAATTTTGTTCTTTCGACGACATACAAACAATTTCGCACAAGAAAATTTATTTGGCTGTCCAATGTTGTCGATCAAATAGTAATGGAATTTTTTTATTATTTTATTTCCCGTATGGTTAAAAAGACGTTTACAAATAATAAATAGAAATTTTACTAATGTGAAAATATGAAAAAATTATTTTAAAAAAACATATCCGTCCTGTAGCTTTGCTGTCAAATTCCGAAAATCGAGTTTGCTACGAGAATGACGGCAAGACTGAAAGTGAATTGCGCCCGGTGTTGCATTTTCCGGGCAAGGCAACACGGTCGGGAGTTCCTGGCTGAGCTTTGTTAATCGTTGATGTTTCGTTTATTTGACGTTTACTAACGTAAAGAAATGAGGAGCAGCTGGCAAATCAATCCCCACAGAATAAAAAAGAAAACAACAACACTAAAGCAAATGCCAACAAAAGAACGAGAAAAAGACGTTTCGCTGAAAATTGCGGCCAATTCGCCCGTTGGGGAGAAGTAAACAGCTGCTTTGTGGCGAAATAGGATGAGTGTAGTTGCCATATAATTTACTATGCCCAATACGTAACAGCAGCAAATGTCAAACAAAAGCAAGACGCGACTACCCGAAACTACAGCACACTGAAAGTATTAGCATGCATTTACACATGGCAACTCATTAAACCTATTCCAAAGAAAGGGATAACCCATCTTACGTACGCAAGAGTTTTAGTTAGTTTTGTCCATTCGGGCTTAAGGAACTCACAAACACGTTAAATTTTTCTAGTAATTAACGCATGATTTAACCGTTACTTCCATGCAGGTATTATACAGTTCTATAAGTTACATTTACGTTGTCTATTAATATAGGTAGAATTTGTGTAGTGGCAATTTTTTTGCAGTTATATATATTGAATATCGTACTTATCAACAAATCAAAAATTAGTTGCGTAAAGCTAAAACATCTGGCAATACCAACTAATTTTAGTTGTAGATGAATTCGCCGCGATAGGTCTGCCATTCACAATTAAATTCTGATTAGAACCCTGTAATTTAGAATTGTTAATAAGAAAAAATTTTATCATAAGGACAGAGAATGTGAATGAATTCATTTTTTGATTTCCCCTCATCTCAAATTACAAATTAGTACTCAAAAAGATTTGATTTAACATTTGCGCCTTTTCTTTTAATCAACATTCTCTGACGAAAGAGTTACAGCCGTGGCAGAAACAGTTTTCGATGGTGGCAATATTTCTCTGTCGTAGGAACAATGCCAACAAAAGTTGTCAGATAGACAGAGCGTCTATCAACATAAATAAAGTCTAAACCGCATGTCCTTTTTTCAATTTCATTATCTTTTCTTCTCTTTGATTTCTCGGTCCGAAGACGGCGAACTATTTCCTGCGTTAACGAATTTGAGCATATTCAGATGAACCAAATGAATTTCCAGAAGACTATTTTTTTACCGGCTGTAACCGGCAGCTGATGGGGTATTTCCGCTCCTAGATGTATGATATACCCAATTATCTTCTAAAATGGAAACGATTTAGTGATCCTGTAATTCTAAAAACCCTACTGCCCCTTTTGCTAGCTTTCTGCTGAGGCTAAAAGTATACCACGGCCGAAAGCATAATCGTATATTCTCATTGTAGTTAATTATATTGTAAGACACCTACTTCCGTAAACAATGGCTTTATACAAATCGCAGTTAAACAATAAGTCGCCTACACGCGTTTCGAAATCATGACAACAGCTTTTAACTTATGATCTTGACAAGTTTGTAAATATAATCAAATTACCCGCTATGGCAAACGCTTCGTTACAGCTGCCTTGCGCATCGCAGAGCTTAGGCACAGTCAACAGTTTGGTGTCCACGTTGATCCAAACACTGCTAACAGCACAATGTGCTATTTCGGCTGAGCCGAATTGGCCAAAGGATTATGGTGATACGGCGATAACGGAGGGACTAGGAAAATACGATTTCATTGTTGTAGGTGCCGGTTCAGCAGGTTCGGTGGTGGCCAGTCGTTTGAGTGAGAATCCCAAGTGGAAAGTGCTGGTGTTGGAAGCTGGCGACGACCCGTCACAAGAGTCAGAGGTGAAAGACTGAATTTATGAAAATTTATTTCATTCAAATTAAGTTTTTATTGTAGATACCTGCTTTGACTAGTACTGTGCAGCAAAGCCCTCAAGCCTGGTATTACTATTCCGAACCGCTTCCGCATATTTGTCAGGGGCTTAAGCACCGCCTCTGCTTTCATCCACGCGGAAAGGCAATAGGTGGGTCGGGCGCAATCAACGGAATGATGTACGTGGAAGGACATCGCAAGGATTTCGACGATTGGCTGGCCGCAGGCAACACAAAATGGGGCTGGGTGGATGTCAAGCGCTATTATGAGAAGGCTGTGCGTCCAGTGGGGAATGACACACATCCAAAAGGCTATGTAGTGCTGAAGGAGAATTATTCAAATGAAAAATTGGCGATAGGCAACATGATCTTCAATGCCACCGCAGAGTTGGGCTTGCCAAGGTTGGGAAAGCTGGAGAATGGCATAGAAATAGGTACAATATATTTGCCAGTAACCGCAAGAGTTGGTAGACGTATGTCCACGGGCAAAGTGCATTTGGCTAAAGTGTCCGGGCGTTCCAATTTGCACGTGATAAAAAATGCGCATGTGCGTAAGATACACTTCGAACGTGGCGGTACGGTAGCCACCAATGTCACGTTCGTGCTGCGTGGCGTGAATGAGATGAGCGTCGAAGTGCGCAAGGAGGTAGTGCTTGCAGCTGGCACTATAGACACACCGAAGCTGTTGCTCTTATCCGGCGTGGGGCCGCGCAAGCATCTCAAAAAGCTGCGTATACCGGTGGTGCAAGACTTAGCGGTTGGCGCGAATTTGGGTGATCATGTGATCACTACGATCTTTTTCAGGTTACCCAACCACACTTTAGTTGAGCCGAGCCAATTGCGCCCCACAGATGCCATCTACGATTATCTAATACATAATCGAGGCAGTTTGAGTGGCATTCCCAGTGGTCTTACGTCTTTCATAAATACCAAAGGTGATAGCGCGGTTCCAGACATACAGTTCCATTTTAATCTCTACCGAAGTGATCATAGGCAGCTCTTCCAAGGCCATGTGTCTAGGTGGGATGAAAAGATAATTGCGCGCATAAGTAGAAATTTCCAGGACTCGCATTTGTTATCCTTCATGTTGATACTGGCCAAACCGCGTTCCGTTGGCAAGTTACGACTACGCAGTACCGATTACCTAGATGCGCCACGTATGTACTCCAATTACCTTGATGATCCCGAAGATATAGCGACTATGCTGCGCGGCATACGCTTTCTCGAACGCCTGGAGCGCACGAAAACCATGCGCGCGCTAAATGCAACTCTGCTTCATATACCGTGCGATGAATGCGACAGCTATAAGTACCGTTCGGACGCCTATTGGCGCTGTTACATCAAATATTTGGGCGAGGGTGGCTTTCACCACGTCGGCACGTTAAAAATGGGACCAAAGAGCGATCGAGATGCTTGTGTGAACCCACGCCTACTACTGTATGGCGTACAGAATGTACGCGTAGCGGATGCCAGCATTATGCCGGATGTGCCACGCAGCAACACGAATGCGCCGGCAATTATGATCGGTGAGCGCGCGGCCGACTTTATAAAGGAAGATTGGAAGGAGTGCGTGAAGCAAGTGCAGCCGATGTGGGAGCATTTTTCGAATTAAAATATACATACATATAGATATATAAATAACGTAATTGCATTTACTGGCTAATGAAATCAATAATTGAGTGGAAATTTGGGTTTCAAGTTAAAAAAATAAATCAAAAAAGTCTACTTTTTGTGAAGAATTACGTTTATGTAAGTAACCGTGGATTAAAGGCAACAATAATTTCACTCTCTGAACGCATAAAGATGGTCGCTCAAATTAATTTCCAGAAAGTTTTAGGTTAAATCTTTACGTATTTCAAAATTTTGTCACACAAAAAACAATAGCACGCATAAGTCACTAACACCACAATGGTTGTGGACTTGGATAAATGTAAACAATGGTTATTGACTTGGCTAAATGTAAACAAAGGGCTACTGACCTCGGCAAAATGTAAACAAAAGGGTCATTGACCTTGTAAAATGTAAACAAAGAGTTCATTTACCCCATAAAATGTAAACAAAGGTTGTTGACTTGGCTAAATGTGATCAAAGGTTGTTGACTTGGCTAAATTTAAGCAAAGGTTGTTGACTTGACTAAATATATACAATGGTTGTGGACTTGGCTAAATGTAAACAAAAGGGTCATTGACCGCAAAAAATGTAAACAAAGGGTCATTGAACTCTCAAAATGTAAAAGGGGTCATTGACCTTGTAAAATGTAAACAAAAAGTTCATTGACCCCATAAAATGTAAACAAAAGGGTCATTGACCGCAAATGTAAACAAAGGTTGTGGACTCGGCTAAATGTAAACAATGGTTGTGGACTTGGCTATATGTAAACAAAAGGGTCATTGACCGCAAAAAATGTAAACAAAGGGTCATTGAACTCGCAAAATGTAAACAAAAGGGTCATTGACCTTGTAAAATGTAAACAAAGAGTTCATTGACCCCATAAAATGTAAACAAAAGGGTCATTGACCGCAAATGTAA